TGTGCACAGCAGAGGCATATGGGAAGGCTTAGGTGCAGAGGATGAAATCCAGCCCACATTCAGCTCTTTAAGCCAGGCCTGCAGCTGCAAGCATCAGGAAGAAGGTAGCATGCCCAGAGGAAATGTTCTTTCCTAACTCATCTGGCCAGAGGAGTGATGTATAGAATAACTTTTACCTAAATCTTTCTTCCTCTAATTACACCATTTTCTAACTGCACAGCCCTGAGTTACATATTTCCTATTTGCTATTATAATATTTTATACATATTTACTATTATTGTTAACATTCATCAAAATTTATCAGTCCCCCTACCCACTGCCCTGCACAGTTCCCTAAGGACCCAGACATGCATTTTTTCCATGAATATTTATGTAAGCTTCAATAAGCATCTGTCAAATTGTTTTAAAATGTTTCTGAATCAAATTGTTCAGTATATCTTCAGCAAGACTACTGAGTACTAGCTGTATACCATGGCTCTGTAATAAGTTTTACACACAAATGCTACCACCTGAAGAGCAAAATAATAAGGGTCTGTCCCTTGGTTACCTGGAGAATAGCAAATCTACTGTTCAAATGATTGTGTTACAGTATTGCTAGTCCTGGCAAATGATTTCACAACGCATTTATTTCTTGACCAAATCTTAAGAAAATGTTTCTAAAATTAAAAAAAAAAAAAAAACTGGAACAATGCTACAATGCTGAAGGAGATTAAAAATATGCTCCTTCAACTCAGTAAAAAGACTGGGATTTAAACATCCATTTAACAAATGCAATACAATAAAGTATAGTGGTTTGGAACTTCAGTGTCAGAAACTACCTAGGGTAGTAGTCATTTACTATATATTAGTCTTGCCATAACTTAAGGTTTCCTCAGCTGTATAATGCAAAGAATTTCTTAGGGTGGTGGTTGTAAGGATACATCAAGTCAACATGCATAAAATTTGAAAAATGTTAGTAATTATTTTTAAAACAAGTGATCAAAAAGAATGAACCAATGCTGCTAACTACCCCAAAGACAAGGGGAAAAGGTTTGGTATTACACATCAAGCAATATCAAACACTGACTAAGCTTCTTCTCAAGGACAAGCACTGTGCTACCAGTCTCTGAAGAGAGCAAAGATGAGCAGAAACAGTCATTAACTTTTAATGGTTTTGATTTCTATAATGGCATTAAAATGATACATACTCCATAGAAACTGTATTTCAAATTTTGAATTTTGATCTTCTCCCAATACAATACTCTCGGAATGCTGGGCAGCAGTAGCAAGCCACAGCTGCCAGTTAGCCCCAAGATATAAAGAAGGTAAGCAGTGGACAATCCATAACGTGCCGTATTGCTAAGCCATGACATTCAATAGGTTAGGCTTATTAAACATATTTTCGACATGATATTTGCAACTTACAATTGGTTATCAAGATATTGCCCCATTGTAGTAAGTCAAGGAACACTGTGCTTATCAATGGTCTCTGACCTAATCAGAGTTTACAAAGAAGTTAAAGAAGCCAATCATCACAACCCAGTGATAAATGCTGTAATAATGTAACAAAATACTACACACAGATGCACACCTGGGGAGGTCATGAAACAAGATTTAAGCTAAATCTTGAAGGCCAAGTGCTAGGGTGGAGGGATGGGTATGCTTAAGGCAAGCAATGGAAACCTCAAATACCAGGACAAGAAGCATCAAGGAATATGGTCAATTCATAAAACTGCAAGTTGTTCCTTCATGTATACCCACTATGTACCACTTGGTTTATGTATGTCATCTCATTTGAGCCTTACAACCCTCTCAATAGTTAATAATCTGTTCACTAAATAAGGAAATTGCAACTTGAGATGTTGAGAACTTGAACTGACTGAGATTTAAACTAGCTTTACCTAACCACAAATAACATGCTTTCACATACTAGAATATGTCAACATATTAAGGTATTGGACAATTTTCCTGAAAGCAATTGTAAGCCTGTGAGCCAAGGAAGGATTATATTTGAATGTATGGTTATTCTCCTGTGGTCCACGCTGGGATAAGCAGGTATACACATTTACCTTATAACAACTCCAGCACGTATGCATTTATCTGTTTTCCAGATGAGGAACTAAGGCTTTTAGAAACCTCAAAAAGACAGTAGTTTGGGGCTGGGGTTGTGGCTCAGTGATACAGGGCTTGCCTCACACATGTGAGGCAATGGGTTCGATCCTCAGCATCACATAAAAATAAAATAAAGGTATTGTGTCCATCTACAACTAAAAAATTTCTTTAATTTAAAAAAAAAGGACAATTTAAGTGATTTATTTTCTTCATATGCTTTGTTGTTGTTGCTGTTGTTTAAGACAAAGTATTTCTGAGTTCACCAGGCTGGACTCAAATTTGTGATCCTCGTTTTTCAGCCTCCCAAGTCGCTGGATTACAGATGAAAGCTACTATGCCAGGATTTATTGCATTACTGAAAAAGAAAGACTCCTATTTTGTGATGCTCTGTTACTGATAAAGAACTATGATTTAAAAAAAAAAGAGAGAGAGAGAGAGAAATGATTAGATTTTCCTCTTGGAAAGAAACTTTTTAGCAGCACTACAGAAGATGCATTCAAGGACTATAAGACACAAGAGCCAAATCCCATTAGCCATCTTTTTCAATAATCAAAGTTATACAAAACACAATACCCATTTGTTCAGTATTTCTATGGCAGTTTTTGTGTTACTACTCAGTTCTGCCCTTCTGACCTACATAGCTGGAAACATTTACTATAATTTACACAAAAAGACTGCCAACTCCTGTTGTAAGCAATAGCTACTATGGTAATCCAGGCAACAGATGATGCAGACTGAATTAGGGCTTTGCAGTAGAAATGGAAAAGCATTCAAGAAACAAGCAGTGAAAGATCACCAGTGTAACTGGCAGAACAGCAGGTAAGAGAAAAGTACCATTGATAGCTCCTCCATTTCTAGCTCAGTGGTCTATTTACATGGTAGAACTAAGATGTACTAGGATAGAAAAAGATTACCAAACATGTCCATGCCCTAAGCCCTACCTAAAACCTGTAAATGTTACATTTTATGGCAAAAAGAACTTTACAAATGTGATTAAATATCTTAAAATGACATTATCGTGAATTATATGAGTGGGCCAAAAGTATAATAGAAAGTGTCCTTATTTAAAAAAAAAAAGAAGAAGAAGAAAAGAAAAAGAAAAAAGAAGAAAGAAGGAAGGAAGGAAGGAAGGAAGGAAGGAAGGAAGAGGTAGATCTGACACAGAACAGAAGAAGGCAACGTATTCATGGAGGCAGAGATTGGAGTTATGCAGCCACAAGCCAAGGAACCATAGCAGCAGCCACAGAAGCTAGAAGAGACCGTAGAGCCTCTAGAGGAAGCACAGCCCTGCTGATACTCTGATTTTGGCCAAGCGAAACTGATTTCTGGCCTCCAGAAACATGAAAGAATAAATTTCCTTTGGTTTAAGTCACCAAGTTTGTAATAAATTCTTACAATAGCAATAGAAAACTAATACACAGGGCTATGAATTTAGGAGTAAATGCTAAGGTATGACAGAAAAGATAATGGCTACGGGCATTTAAGATGTTCTATGATACAATTAAGTAAAGACATCCAGCATAATCAGAAATAAGGATGTGAACTCAGAAGTGCTCTAGACAGAAATGAGTCAAGCTAGGGCTAAAGCTATACTCTCTAAGCAATTCTAGTCACAGTCCAAAACAAATTCCAAAAGTAACTTACTTTATAATGGCTTATTGAAGTATTGTGTATACAACAGTAGCAATAATAATATAACAGCTGATATATTAATATTTCTATGTGGCAGGCATTGTGCAGAATGCTTTTTATGTATTTTCTTACTCTCCACAACTTATAAAGTAATATTATGATGCCTTTAAAGACAAGAAAAGGGAAGCTCAAAGTCACATATGAGTGAGCAAGAGCCTGGGTCAAATCATCAGCTTAACTCCAAAACCCAAGGAAACAAACTCTAAGCTCTACTTAACCTTACTATTGATCTCAGGATCATTTAAAGGAAGGCTATACCAGCATGACAAATAATGACTTTAAAATCAAGAAAGTTCAACCTGTTAAATCCCTGGTAACATTACACTAAAATAGGGGCAGTCACTGACAGAGTAGGGTGGGAGAAGGCCAACAGATTTATGAGGACTCAAGGGTAAGAAGGAGAGCAACTGTCATTCCTAAAGAGCCTGAGGAAGGAAAAGAGGTCAGCAGGTCAAAGGACTGAGTATCCCAGGGATACTTATCTGGGAACATCAGGGACAATGTAGGGATGACAGGTAGCAGAAACAGACCAACAGTCCAAATTTTCTACACCAATTCTTGAGTGGGAATGCGAAGCAGATGAACATGAGATGGGCACAGGAGAGAGGATGGATGATATTGAGGGGTGTGATCTGGTTTAATGGTTAAAAGCAAAGGCTTCGAAACAGAAAGAGATCTAGGTTCCAATTCCACATCATCTGTAGGTGTGTGAGCTTGGAATAAATTTCTTAATCTGAGTCTCGATTTTCTTCACCTGTATAATGGGAATATTAAGAACCATACTTGAGATCAAGTCAAAGAATTCATGTACAACACATGATGGAGAGTACTTAAAAAGGTCTGTGTTGTTGCTTCCGTTGTCATCAGTTTTATTACTACGAATATTATTGTAACTGTCACAGCATTAGTCTCCTTACCCTTAAGTACCACAGCATTTCTAGCATTTTTTTCAAGAACAGAGTGATGAGCAGAAGAGTGAGAGTCCCAGGTTGTGGCACCCAGCAGACCACCGACGAGGCCTCAAAAGGACCCCTGACACTTCCTACTCCACTTCCTTCTCCAGCCTAGTGGACCAACGGTACAATCCCCAGGCCGGGTCCCGAGTGACAGACCCACCGCCTCCCCCTCCAGCCCATCGCCGCAGTGACACGCGGGCTGCGGGCTGGCCCCCTGCAGGTCAGGGGCCAGCTGGTGCCGCCCCCCGACACCGGCCTCACCTTCTCATAGTTCTGTATAAGGCGGCTGATGCCTTCACGTTCGACCTGCCACTCGGGCTTCTTCAGCTGCTTCCTCAACTGCTTCTTTTGGTTCTGCCTATGGCTGTGTTTTTTCTTCCAGCGATTGAAGCTCCGCACCGGGTCGGATCGGGTTCCCTGACTCAGAGAGTCAGCAGTTTTGCCCATCGTGGCGGCGGCTACAGCCTGGACAGAGCTCAAACACGAGATCCCTAAAGACCAGGTGGAGGTGCGGCAGACTTCACAGAACCAGCATGGGGAAGACGCACCGAGGCGCATGCGCGAATCCGTAAGCCCGACCCCGAGCTTTTGGAGCCGGGGCACGCGCCAATGACCGCCTGGGAGAAGCGGGCGATGATTGGTGGTTCGGCTTCCGCAGGGAGGAGCCGTCTCTCAGGAAACCCGGTTGGAAGGGTCTGAGGAAAAAGGCGGGTTTAGCGTTCCCCAGTCGCACGCCGGCTCTTTAAAAAAACGCATGCGCGCTGGTTTCTGTCGCTCCCGTGATTTCACATTACTTTTTTTTTTTTTTTTTTTTTTTTTTTTGCTGTCTGGTGTTTGCTCATGGTTCAGCTTTGCCAAGCGCGTACACACACACACACAATCTGTGGATTATAATTGTATTCCTCGTTTTGCATATTTCGAGCCAGGGATCCGAAATATTTCAATAGCTAGCCAATGACTTCTGATTTCCGTCTACTGCAGTGCACCTCCGTAGGAATAAAAATGTATATTTTATAGTCATAACCTCTTTGGATTGTCCCCTTCCTCACACCCTTCAGACTCCAGCTGCGGCACCGTCGGAACTGAATGTCTAATTGAATTTGCCTGAAAATGCTAATTTTAAAACTAAATGCTAACCAAAAGTAAAGAATTAATAGAGAAAGTATTTGCAATCTGGCCATTTAAGTGAGTTGGTTTTCTATGAATTGGGGGTTTGGACACATTTACCTAGAGCCTCCAGAGATGCACACTGGATGGTATGGGAGAGCCCAGTTGAGGCAATGGGACTTGGAAAATTGCGTTCGAAGTTCACATGCAGACTATTTGAACCCTCAAATTTCCCATGTATCCAGATAACTACTCCCAACCCTATGCCCATCTCCCGAGGAGACAAGGGGGGCGGGAGGACCGGCAGTGAACTGGAAAACCTCCACACCGCCATTCACCAGATGTGGGTCATATTTTTCACTGAGGTTTCTCTCAGGTGAGGTGCACTGTACACTTACTCGTTTGTTTTTATTTTATTAATCTGTCTTATGTTACTAAGGTCTGTCCCAACTATGAACTTATAAGGATTGGGGAAAATTTTCTATTTTCTTCCTTAGAATAAGTATGTTTTTTCAACTAAAATGGTTTATAATATAGAATGTCCACAACAGAAAAGTCATGTAAGTTGGTACTGAGAAAATACATTTAAACATAGGTATTTTCGAGTATATACCTTTGATTAGCACCATAGACTTTATCTAGACAATTTATCTTTTAAAATATTGATAACTTACAAGAAAGCATTGTTTACTCTGATTATTAGTGGCAGTGTGGCCTCAACTTAACTTACATTATGAATTTTATAATGATTTCAAAATTAACTTCAGTAAAATTTTTGGTGCCCTTTAATATTTCAATGAACTAAAATTTGGTTGTACAGTTCTATGATGATATAAATTTTCAATAGGTTGAAAAAGGATTTTTGATCAGGGCCACTAGCCATACCTCTAATCCCAGCCACTTGAGAGGCTGAGGCAGGAGGATGGTAGGTTTGAACAACTTAACAAACTTAGCCTCAGCAACTTAGCAAAACTCTGTGTCAAAATAAAAAATACTGGGGATGTAGCTCAGTGGTAAAGTGTCCTGGGTTCAATCATCAGTACAAAAAAAAATTTGCTATATTTTTCATCATTACTTTTAAAAAATACATAAAGGATATGAGATGCTCCATAATTACTTTTCAGAAATCCTTCTGTCCAAATCAATTACATTTTTCATGTACGTAAATTGGGGCACTGTCATATCTTTGGCCTTCAAAGTATTTATTAATAATACTTACATTATTATAGTTGTCCTTAGAATAAAATTTAAGTTTTACAGATGTCTATGAACAAGAGGGTACTTCAATTCTTTGAGGGAACATCGTTTTTGATTTGCCATAACGTGTGTGTGTGTGTGTGTGTGTGTGAGTGTGTGTGTGTGTGGTGCTGGGGATTGAACCCACAGCCTTGTGCATGCAAGGCAAGCACTCTACCAACTGAGCTATATCCCCAGCCCTGCCATAATATCTTTACTTCAAAACTCTAGCATTTCAAATTTTACTCATGTTACACTATTTTTTTTTTCTGTCACAACTTGTGTACAGCTTTCAAAAACATGAAACCTTTTTGGCATTTACTTTTTTGTTTGGTTTGCTTTGCTTCATTTATTGCAGTACAGGGTTGAACCCAGGTGCACTCTACCACTGAGCTACATCCCCAGCACTTTTTATTTTGAGACAGGGTCTGGCCAGATTGCCAAGACTGACCTGGAAATGGTGATCTTCCTGTCTCAGGTTCTCCAGTTGCTGGAATTATAGACATTCTGACCATCTTGGCATTTATTTTTAATTTAATCTTAGTGAATCTTCTGTACTTTCACTTTTGTAGTGAATTGAACCAAGATGGTGGCCACATGCTTTAAGATGTTGCAAGGGCAGGGGCACATTATCTCAAATCAAGAGATCATTTCCCCTCTCACATTTTGAATTCTATTTTGTGTTTACAAGTAGTCTATTAAACAATGTAGACCAAATCATTCCATTATTATATCATCTGCTGAGCAATATCTATGTTGACACATAGAAATACCTCAGTCCCCTCTTATCTAGGTTTCATTTCTATGGTTTTAATTACTCACAGTCAACTGCCAACCAAAATTATTAATATTTGTCTTGACTTTTTGAAGAAAGAGAAACCACATCCATATAAATTTATTTCAATATATTGTTATAATTATTTTTTATTAGTTTTGTGCCAATTTTGTACTTTGCCTAATCTATATATTAAACTTTATCATAGATATACATTATAGGATAAAGCATAGTATATATACAGTTTGGTAAAAATCCATGGTTTTAGGCATTCACTGAGGGTCTTGGAAAGCATCCCCTGTGCATAAAAGAAAACTTCTGTGTTGGGTTTTAATCATCCATATATCCAACAATTATTGTAATCTGTTCTATCTGAGATCTATAGAGGTTTTTACTAAAATAACTGAGGAATATTTGGCATTCTTACCTTATTCAAATGATCAAATGATTTCACTCAATATCATATCTTAGCTACTTGGTTTTGTTTTTTATCTTCTAAATATATCTTTATTCCACAGCACCAATAGTGATACATAAATAGATAAATAACTTTTCAAATTAGATTCCAATTTTGAATACTCAATACTCAACACTTTGCTGATATACTTTACAGTTTCTAAGAATATGTCATAAATGCCAGTCATCACACCTGTTTTCATTCTTCTGTTGATTTCATTCAGCCCCAGAGAGTTTAAAAAAAAAAAAAAAAAGACTCCTTAGGGCTGGGGTTGTGGCTCAGTGGTACAGCACTTGCCTGGCATGTGTGAAGCCCTGGGTTCAATCCTCAGCACCACATATAAATAAATAAAATGAAAGATCTATTTACAACTAAAAAATACTTTAAAAAAAAGAATCCTTCGGGGTACAATAAAGTAACTAGAATCTAGCTATTTTCTACTATTTGAGTTTGTGTAAAAGAGAAAAGTTTCTAAAAACAACCATCTGTGCTGCTTTTTGAAAAAATTTAAATTTCTTGCATGTAGTATATAGTTTCAACAGGAATGGCCCATCATTTGATATTCATGTTACTTGGCCATGTTTCTGAATTGAGAGAAAATGAGACAAGTACATACTCAATTTTTCTTTCAATTTTTCTTTCAGTTCATTTGTTACGGTTGATATGGAGGTAAAAAGTAAATTCTCATCCTGCTCTTAGTTGTATGCTCTGATGAAACTAGTGTCTTTCTCTCTTTTTTCCAATGTTCCCTATATTTGCTTAATATATATAAAATATATTCAGTTAACTCCTTCTAGTGTTATTTCATTTCTCCATGATTTCTGGTTTTTTAATTCTATTATTTTTTAGATATTTTTCTTATGGCTAGTAAGAAATATATAATAGCTTGGTATTTTATCTCAGATTTTGTACAAATTTAAAACGATACATACAAACTAAGCTGTTAAATTTCAACAACAATTATTCACTGTGAACCAATGTGAACATCTTTTATTAGATGATTTGAGTTTACTTAAATTAATTGATATCACTGATGTTGGCCTCAGTTCTCTCATTATTTATATATAAAATTTTATATAATAAATGATGTGTTCTTTTTCTATGTTGTCTGTTTTGGTGATTTTTATCTTTTTAATATGATTTTTAAAATTTTTTTTAGATGTTGATGAACCTTTATTTTATTCATTTATTTGTATGTGGTGCTGAGAATGGAACCCAGTGCCTCACACATGCTAGGCAAGCACTCTGCCACTGAGCCACAACCCCAGCCTGATTTTTTGAATTTTTGATTTTGAACAGTGTATTCAGAAGTATATATAAGCTGGGCATGGTTAACTCGTGACTTTAATCTCAGCAGTTCCATGCCCAGCAGTTTGGGAGACTGAAGCAAGAGGATCACAAGTTCAAAGCCAGCCTCAGCCATTTAGTGAGACCCTAAGCAACTTAATGAGACCCTGTCTTAAAATAAAAAATAAAAGCGGGAGGACTGGGGTTGTGGGTCAGAGGTGGAGCACTCACCTGACACACATGAGGCACTGGGTTCAATCCTCAGCACCACATAAAGTTTAAAAAAAAAATTGTGTCTACCTATAACGAAAAAATTTTTTTTAAAAAAAAAGGGGCTGGGAATGTGGCTCAGTGGTTAAGCGTCCCTGATTCAATTCCCAGTACCAAAAGGGAGAGGAGGAGGAGAGTTATGTATATGATCTATATAATAATACCTTTTTTGTTGTTGGTTTTTTGGGGGGTTTTTTTGTTGTTGTTGTTGTTGGTTTTTTGTTTTGTTTTGTTTTTGTTTTTGGTACTGGGGATTGAACTCAGGGGTACTCAACCACTATGCCACATCCCCAGCCCTATTTTGTATTTTATTCAGAGACAGAGTCTTACTGATTTGCTTAACACCTCACTTTTGCTGAGGTTGGCTTTGAACTTACCATCCTCCTGCCTAAACCTCCTGAGCCACTGGGATTACAGGCATGCATCA